TATAAGAAATATTTGTTTTTTCTTAAAGCTAAAGGATGTGACTATCATATAATGTACCTAATATTGCATAATATTGCGTACATTTTTTTTTTTTTTACAATCTATTTTAGATGTTACTTTGTGCCCCGGTCTCCCCTATAGACCAAAAAAAAATACATGACGTTGATTTCTTTCTGGAGAAAAAAATGTGGAAACGCGCGTCTCATTTACGAAGACTTTACGTGAATTCTTTTTCTGATTTGAGTTTTTTAGATTTACCGACGGTCGCGCTAATTATTACGAACTCGGCGGCCCGCGTCGTAAGATCTTCTGGAGAATATGGTGCGAACAAGTGCGGGGATTGCTGGCCCGCCGAATGGACGGTGGTAGCTCGTTGTCCGAAACGACGGCCGCGAGTTCGTCGAGCAGCAGCACGTTGTATTTGTTGTCGTCGGAAATCGAGATTTATCGCAATCGCGACGCGAGACGCGGGAAACCGATACTCAGGTGCGCCCTCCCCTCCTTCCCCGCGATCGAGAATCGAACGCTTACTTACGTTTCATAAAAACATAAAATTTGATGCGCGCGCTCGACCGCGCGTGCGTGTCGCTTGCAAAATAAAATTCACGCAGAATATGGAAACACTACGGAGGCGCCGGCGATTACGTCGCTCCTCCTTCGTGGACCGAGAAGGATCTGTATCTCGGTCCGACTTACAACGAGTTGATGGACGGCCGTTACACGCCGGTCCCGGTGAGATTCGCCGGGGGAAGTTTGCAGGACGTCAGGTACGAGCTGGATGATCGCACGCCGTCTTACATCGCGCGCAAGAAATCCTCCTGTCGCAGCTGGCCGTGCCGGAAGTACGACGGCCGGCCGGAATTGCAACGCACCGGCGGACTCTGCGACGTGCTCTACAGAAGACACCTCAACGCGCATCGACGGGACTACACGGCGAGCTACAGAAGTTCGCCCTGCAACATTTGTCAGCTAGACGAGACCGTTGGCGTTAATCTCAGAAAGCACAGCCGATGTCGCGGTTAGAAAGAGAATTGGATTTTTGAAAATTAATTAAAATTTATTTGTTTTTGATTTTTTTTTAATTTAAAAACAAAATTAAATTAAACAAATTACTAGTATAACAAAGTCAAAATTAATAAAAACGCAGCTCGTAATATCTAAATAAATATGTCACAATATTAAAATCAATATACAACAGGCCAAATTCACGAGCAAATCTGAAGATATTCTTTATTAATAATATATAACAATATGTCAAAAAATCTTAACAATAAACGTTTTGACATATTGTTATATATTATTAATAAAGAATATCTTCAGATTTGCTCGTGAATTTGGCCTGTTGTATATTGATTTTAATACTGTGACATATTTATTAAAATTAAATTATTTGCGAAGTAATCTTGTTGGAATTTTCAATTGTGAACAAATTGCCAAGTCGATCGAACATGCGAGTTTCTCACTGCGACTTCCAGAGCATAAGAATACGTTCTCCGAAGAGGAGTTTGTAGAGCACGTGGAGAGGAAGTACGGAAATCGCCAGGGATCAAAAGCGTCGCCGACGTCGAAGATATCGCGTTTCGGTCTGGGCGTGCCGGAGAAGTGCGACTCCGAGTTGATTCTGGGCCCGTATCCCAAGGATTCGAGCTACGGCGCTTCCGAGTTCGCGCACCGCTTCCTCGATCCCCGCGAGTTGCTCGAGAGCGGAGTGACCGTTTGGGAAAATCGTCGCAGGTCCTCGACGAGTCGTCGTAGGCATCTGCGCAGATACGCGCTCACCTCGGCGGCGCATTTTCTTCACGCGCTCGGACCGTGGTCGGTCCAGCCCGGCGAACGCGAGTCCGTGCAGACGCTGCGATCGCCGAGCGCGGTGAACATTCGCCGACAACCAGCGGACGCGGAGCTGAAGCTTCCGGTGTCGCGCCGTCAGCTGACGGCCAGCGTTTCCTGCGCGGCTCTGACTTCCGCCGGTTCCAGCATCGTCGGCACCGTCACGAGAGGACGGGTGATACTTTTCTGGACGCCGGAATATTGGTACAGGCCCCAGGCAGCCGCGGTTGCTTACAGGTGATGCGAAGAATCGTCTTTCAAATTATCCACGTGTGTGTGTGTGTGTGTGTGTGTGTGTGTAGTTAGTATATTTTAATTCTAAAATTTAAACAATGTCTGAAATTACTTTTAAATTATCGAACACACAGAGAACTGAGACACCACTTGGCGTCTCTGCGGGATTTTCAGCAGAAGGAGAAGCAGTCGAAGAGGAAATTCTTCTGCAGACGGAAGACGCGGATCTCCGTTGAGAGCGGCAACTCGGAAACCGCGGTAACCGAAAAGTCCAGCAGTTTCTTGGAACGCGTGCTGTTCATAAACGGTCCTCGCAAACGGGACAAGAAGACGTTCGAGAACGTGGACGTCGATCGGGGAACAGCGCAGTTGCGACGACTGCTGAGAATGAATCTTCGCATCACCGTCTGGGACTTGAACAGCGGCACACTGGCCACGCAGCTGACGATGATCGATCGCGATCTCTTCGTTCGCATCCCCGCGACCGAAATCGAGGTGGTGATTCATCAGAAGTCGTCGCGGAACGCGCCGAATCTCGGCGCGTGGATCGCCTTCAGCCACCGGATCGCCTGTCTGACCGCCAGCGAGATCCTCGCGATCAAACAGCTCGACATGAGAACCCGGATCATGGCGAGGTTCATCAACACAGCCGAGAAGTGCTTCGAGCTCGGCAACTTCCAATCGTGCAGATCCATCCTGGCCGGTCTGCAGTCTCCGCCGATTTACAGGCTTCGCAGAAGCTGGGCCTATCTGCGAACACATCACGCCACCAGGTATATCTTCTATTCGCATCGATTACGTACGATAATTTAAGGAGATAATTTTATTTCTTTTTTTTTTCTCTCTCTTTTTTTTGCGTTAAAACGCTATTTTAGATACGAAGCGATGGAAAAATTATGCAAAATCTACAAGAATCCACGTTGCCCGAAGTATCAAAAAGCCTGGGCCGCAGTGAAATGCGATCCACCTTGCATGCCGTACGTCGGTCACTTCTTAATCCAAGTTCTGGGACTGAGTGACTTGTGGAACGTTCGATCGAACTGCATTTGCAATCTAAGGAGAGATTCGTTCGCAAATATTACTGAAATTTCCGACTCCGCACTTGTTCGCGGCAATTTCGACGATCTTTGCTCGGAAGACAAGTCCAAATCAATCGAACCGAAACAGTCTAGTGTGGCTGGACGTATCGTCGCAGCAGCGTTGGCTAGACTAAAATTTACGACGCGTCGGAACGTTGTGCCTGACAACAAAAGCGACGCTTGGACGTGCAGACAGCGATATTTGGCGCGCAAGTTCTTCCGTCGCTGGGACGTGATCGTGTTGAGATCGAGGATGCGCGCGGAGAACGACGAGAGATTGAAGAACGTGGACTCGAGGAGAAAACACGTTCTCGACGTAGCGACCTGGTTGACGGAATGTCAGAGATGCGCGCAAAATTACAGGTTTCCCTTGAACTCGTTTGCATGCGAATTTCTGTTAAAAGCGCGTTACAGAGAGGACCGCGAGAATTTTTTCATCAGCCTCAAGCTGGAACCGCCGAAGACAAGGTGAAAACGAAACGCGATCAGAGCCATGTAATTAAACTCTAATTTTAATTGACTCTTGTCACACTGGAAACGATGTGCGACTCGGCTCGGGCACAAGAAAAACACCAAAAACTAGAAGAACAATTATATATTTGCAAGACTACAAAACAGACTAAGATTAGAATAATTAACGAACATTGCCACTCGTTTATATAATTACGAAGATTTTCTAAGACTATACAGTATTATTTGCATTGCAATTTATTCGAAAGCGTTTTTGTCTGGAGAACTTTCTCTTGCCAATCTTATTACATTGTCTTTATATAATTATTATTGCTACAACACTTTTTAATAAAAATACGTCTTTGAATGTTAAATCCACGCAGTTTTGAAATTTTCTGCAGAACTTTTAGAATTTTTACAACCTTACGGTTATATTAGATTTTACTTAATTCTATTATTTTAACATGAATAATAGAACTATAACATAATTGATTCTTCTAAGAATTTTATAAGATTCCTGTATTAATCACGCAGTACTTTATGTAATATGTGTAACATGTATGTGTGAGCGCGTGCGTTTGGGTGCAATATTTTTTAACTATACCAGAAACAGTAACCCTAATAGGAAACCATTTACAAAATTATGTGACGAAATCTTGCACTAAATATATATATACAGGGTGTCCCAGAATTGCCGTACAATCTCTCGTAGGCAGGTAGAAGGAGTAAAACTGAGTCAAAAAGTCCTGAACCATTTTTTTCTATTATTTATAATAAAGGAGTAATTATTGAATAAATCAGGCCAATCAGCGCAGACCTTTAGCCAGATCTGCACGTCAGTGAGCGCTCACACACACCAGGCGCGCGGCTCTCTGACGTGCGCGTGGCTAAAGGTTTGTGCTGATTGGCCTGATTTATTCAATAATTACTCCTTTATTATAAATAATAGAAAAAAATGGTTCAGGACTTTTCGACTCAGTTTTACTCCTTCTATCTGCCTACGAGAGATTGTACGGCAATTCTGGAACACCCTGTATATATATAGATATCCAGCAAACATCACGTGTCAGCACGCCGTGAAAAGCATGCCATGTGAACAATATGTTGGTACAGTGCTGTTCAGTGATGACACGCGTTGTATGCTAACAAAATGATATCATGGCGTGCTGCGGCAAGCATTGCAGGAGGACCGACAGATGTCGCTACTTTTAATTTGGTGATTCTCCGGCAGCACAATCTATTCTTTCCCTCTGCTTGTCTTTCCCCCTTGTCTAGAAGTGCATCAGCTTCAGCATTGAGACCTTGTTTATGCGAGCAATAACCGTTAACTTATTATCATACACATTCGGCAATTTTGTAAACAAAAACATTGAAATCGTATAGTTTATTGGTTTTGATATAAGATAACGGTTATTGCCCGCACAAACAAGGCTATACTGTGTTGTGAAAGAGATGCATTTTGAAATTTCTGCTCGGCAAGTTGGATATATAATTATATTGGATATATAAAGTAAGTATACACACACACACATTTATAATTGTATATATTTGGCTTATATACACATTTTAACATAAATGTGTACATGTATGAATATGTGCAAATTTTTATTTTCAATAAGTTAGTGATATTTCTACATATAACCTCTTCAAAATCTTTTAGTTGGTATACATCAGGTTTATCGTCGAACAAAAGACGAGGCT